GCTGCCCCAGAGTCACAGAGGACGTTAAACAGACTGAGCAGCAGTCATGATACTAAACTAATCCTGGTGAAGTTCACCTTTAAGCCAGAAGGAGGCAGAATCTGCTTAAAAAGCCACTATGACAGGAAACAAACAGAAGCTGGAGGAGAGGTATCAGATGGTTAGCTGTGCCTACATTTTTCCGGCGGAGTGATGGTGATGGTCTGTGCTGTGAACTCTTCGTCGAAGTAGCGCGTGTCCGTCTCTGAGGTGACCTGGGGCTGGAAGGGCGGGACCAGCTGGAGCAGACAGAAGCAGAGTGAGCACAGCTTCAGATGAGTCCAAGTATTTTGTACATGGTCGATATACGGTACCGGTATAGAATCAACATCAACAGAAGGAACCACCAGAGGAACATACTGCTGATCATTTAGAGGTTTTGTTCTCTTCGAAATGGAAAGATTAAGGCCACATTACTTTTACTATCAATCCGTCAGAGTGAAGGAGGATCCCAGCAATGTCTTCAGTTTAACCACAAAGGTGGAGTTCACAGCGACAGAAAGCAAAAAGAAGCAGCACAGTTTTTTTTTTATTGAGAAAAACTAAAGTCACATTGTGTTTTCACTACTTCTGTTTGAAAAATTGCTGCCGTGATTAACTGAATATCACAATAGCTGGAGATTATTCTTATATCATCCAACTAGTTGACTCCCGGTTTCAGATTTAGTAGAAATGTCTGTTTGCTGTCAACAATGAACGTGTAGTGAGACATCGTGTTGAAGGGACTCTGGTGGTTCGTCTGCTCTCACACCGGCTCTGACATTTCAGTGCTGCATTAACTCTTCACAGACAAGCTTTCAATCCACACTCTGCTACCGACTGTTTTAGCAGCAACATGAAACTGAGTCCAAGACAAGATTTAATACAAAGGGAACACTAAAACAACACATCCTAGATGAGAGGTTGAATGAGCGGAATGCCTTGAGAACAAAACAACATAAAAATGATCAATGTAAATCTAAATGATTATCCAACGGAGGTCTGGATTTGGAATCCTACTCAAAATAAAAGTGGAAAATCACATCACAGGCTGATCCGACTTCAGTGGAAACTCCTCCAGACCAGTCACAATGAGGCTCAGTAGTGTGTGTGGCCTCCACCTGCCTGTAGGACCCCCCTCCAACGTCTGGGCATGCTCCTGATGAAGCAGGATGTTCTCCTGAGGGATCTCCTCTGACCTGGATTAAAGCATCTTCAACTCCTGGACAGTCTGTGGTGCAGCGTGGCGTTGGTGGATGGAACCAGACACGATGTCCCTGATGTGCTCAGTTGGATTCAGGTCTGGGGAACGGGCCGGCCAGTCCATAGCAACGCCTTCATCATGCAGGAACTGCTGACACACTTCATCCACATGAGGCTGAGCATTGTCATGCATCAGGAGGAACCCAGGGCCCAGTGCACCAGCATGTGGTCTCACAGTAGGTCTGAGGATCTCATCCTGGTACCTAATGGCAGTCAGGGTACCTCTGGCTAGCACATGGAGGGCTGTGCGGCCCTCCAAAGAAATGCCTCCCCACACCATTACTGACCCACCACCAAACCGGTCATACTGGAGGATGCTGCAGGCAGCAGAACGTTCTCCACGGCGTCTCCAGGATGTGCCATCCTGGATGAGCTGCACTACCTGAGCAGCTTGTGTGGGTTGTAGACACGCCTCATGCTGCCTCTGGGGCTGAGAGCACTGACAAAATGTAAAAGTGACCAAAACATCAGCCAGAAAGGATGAGAACAGAGACCTGGTCTGTGGTCACCACCTGCAGAACCTCTCCTTTATAGGGGTTGTCCTGCTAACTGCCTCTCATCTCCACCTGCTGTCTGCTCCATTTGAACAACAGCAGGTGGAACTGATTCACCATCAGTGCTGCTTCCTACCTGGACAGGTTGATTCCACAGAAGTGTGACTGACTTGGAGTTACATCATGTTGTTTAGGATGTCCATGTGAACTGTATTAATAAGGCAGATATAACTCCATCAGGTGGATCCTGTAATAAATACGAGGGAAATCTGTAAATTCTGGTAGATTAATCGTAGCAACTGGACTTGCTTGAGTTCCTTGAGGACGTTCCACCTCTCATCCAAGAGGCTTCATCAGCTCTGACTGACTAGTTGAGAGTTCCAGGTACAGATATCCTTAAAGAGCCGTTAACACCTGAGTTTGGGTTTCAGTTGGGGGTTTGTTGCTCCTCCTCCTCGTTATGTGAGTCGTTAGTGCTCCCCCTACCACGGTGGGGTTCGTTAGGGTCTAGGTGTGGATGTGGGTTCATCTTCCTGGGGAGAGATCTTAGGACTGACTCGTAAACAGGTGAGAGGTGATGCCTCAGACCTCCACCTCTGATGAGGGATGGTCTTTCCAGTTTGACATAGATGGCTTCTTTCACCCCTCTCTCAGACCATCTGTCCTTCCTGGACATCATCTGTAAAACACTGAACCACATCTGACCGCTGTAGTGTTAATAAATAGAATAAAACCTGTGTGTTAGGAGGAGCCAGTGATGCTTCGACTGCTTTATGTTGTTGAAATGAGATAAAGATGAGGTAATTTGTTCTTTTCTGTTCTATTTTGGAGTTTACATCCCAGCCAGACATCTTTTGAAAAATTAGGTAACCCTGATACCAGAATATCTCAGATATGCTGTTTGAATAAATTGCCATTGAAGTTAAGATGACGTCTAGCAGCTAAATCTTGCTCTCACCTTCTTGTCGTAGACGTCCTGCCAGTCGATTGTGCCAAAGAAACTGTGCCGCATGATCTCCTTAGCGTCATCCGGTCCGCCGCCCAGCCTGTCAACGAACAGAGAGGAGAAGAAGAAGACGTCGAAGTCAGACATCAAATGGTGCTCTAACAAAGTCTCCATCAATGGAACCAGAATATCCACCTGCTTCTGATCCCAAAATAACTCCTCAGGGTGAACGGGTTCGCTCTCTGAAGCTGCAGTAGCCTCTTTTCACCAGTTTCTTCGTTACAGACAGAAAAGGCCTCGGGAATAATGGGAGTGGGAAATTAACAGCAGCCACCAGCCACTTTTGCCTGAGAGCACTTGTACGGACTACCAGTTATCATGACGGGGTTTTGTTCTCTTTTTAACATGAAGATGGCTGCTTCAGGAGTGAGAAGAGCTGGTGTTCTCAGGCATGTGCAGAACATTACAGGGCTTCATTTCTTGTCCTGTGGTGAAGAAATAGGATCCTTGCAGGTCAGCAAGAAGTCATGGAGGATGGATTTCCTAAGTGTATGCTTTTTCAGCAATTATATTTACAGCTAAACCTTAAACTGACACAGGAATTTACAGTATCTGTTTACATCTGTGCATGAGCACATATATATTTTGTTTGCACCAAGGGTGAGCAGCTCAGATAGTTAATCTGAGGGATTATGTCCTCCATCAGGCCTGGGAACAACGTGGGTTCCCCCAGGAGCTGAGGAGAACAACAGCATGCTTTACCGAGCTGTCAGCCAGACTCCAGTGCACGAACAGACAGATGGATGGCTGATGAATGTCTGTAACTGTTCCTTTATTGACATTAAATATTTGAGAGTTGGAGTTAAGTACAGAAAGTCGACGGAGGACTCCAGACATTTTCTTTCATGACTTGTTTGAATCAGAACACACGAACACATTTCTAACCTAATAACCCCATTTTCTCGGATACAGTATTTCTGCCAAATGTCTTTCTGTCTCTCACTATTTCTGTCTGTTAGACCAGACAGAAAATCAGGGGAGAGACTGAAGGAAATCCAACGTCCCAGATCTGACTCCAACTGGTGACAATGTGCTTCATGGGTTGACCCTAAAAAAATCTTTTACTGACTCTAACTTATTCTCTTCTTGATGGAGACCAGGAATCTCCAGCTCCGGTCCTCGTGAGCTACTGTCCTGCAGGTTTTAGACGTTTCCGTACTGCAACACACCTGACTCAAATTCATGGATCGTTAACAGACTTGTGTAGAATTTGACAACAAGCTTTCTTTGCAGTGCAAAAGAAACAAGCACATCATGGCCTGGGACAAGACCATCGCATCGGAGAGCAACACATTTAAATGTTGGATCAGGAGGCCATAGAAATCAGCCAAAGACACCATGAGCCATGATGAGGGGGCATCATGCTGTCCCACACATGGGACGCTCTCCTGCAGAAACCACCGGGTGGCGGGAGGGTGGCCCATCGAGCAAATCTGACAGATTGCCAGGTGGGTCACACCTCCAGGAAACCACCAGCTGATAAAAAACGCGTCACCACAGACGTCAGGTGAGGAAGACTGAAGTGACAGTCGAAACATGTCAAAGATAAAAACAGCTCCTACTTAAAAATAATCACGCTAGGATGATAAACAGGGCTCAAGTCAGGAGGTCTGGTCGTGTTCATAAGTGGGAACAAGCCAGTGAGGGGTCACTTTGTAATGATGGAATGAATAATGTGTACAAACAGGATAGAGGAGGTAGCAGGGACAAGACTTACAGTCCAGGGAGAAATGCAGAGCAGTTGTTGTTGAACAGGGTAGTGTTGTGAACCATGAAATCATAAAACGTGTTAACGTGAATCAATCTGTTGTTCCTTCATCTGCACCTGGTCGTCTGAGGGTTTGTCTGCGTACCGTTTGTTGGGGTCCTTGATGAGCAGCCCTGACAGCAGCGACTTGGCATCGGCTGAAAGCGTTCGCGGAAACTTGATCTCCTCCATTAGGATGAGCTCAAACAGCTTCTCGTGGTCCTGGTTGTAGAAGGGCAGGCGGCCGCACATCATCTCGTACGTCACCACGCCCAGACCCCACCAGTCCACCGCCCGCCCGTAGTCGTTGTCCTCCAGCACCTGATGGTTTATGACAGAGGCTTTTTACTTTATTGTTTCTTGTATTTCCATTAGAAGCTCATAAAACTTTATTTTCCCACACTGGAGCACAATATTACGCATCAGCTTTCACTAAACAACATACATTTAACTATTATGTGTATTAAGAAGCGTGAGGCCACTATCACAGTGATTACACCTGATGAAAAATACAACCTTTTTAAACACTTATATCCTCTTTCATATCCTCTTTAGAAAAAATAACTTTCAAGTTCCTGACCAAGACCTCCATTAGAAGAAGTGAGATCAGCTGCTGACATTCTACTCTGCTGTAAAGAAAACACTGAATTAGAGGAACTGCCTCTTCTGGGACTTCCACATTGGACTTGGTGGTTTCTGCTCGGTGACAGACAGAAAACTGCGGATCCAAAACTGTTTGTTTTTTTTCCTGATTTCATCAAAGAGGACAAAACCAGACAGCTATGAAGGCTCAGTTTGGGTTCAGAAAAACAACCTTGTTTGCCTAACTTTCACCATAAACATGTGATTCTGCTCTTGGTTTGTATGCAGTGTGACCTCTGACCTCAGGAGCCAGGTACTCCGGTGTTCCACAGAAGGTCTTCATTGTGGCAGTGTCAGTGATGCCTTCTTTGCAGAGGCCAAAGTCGGTGATCTTGATGTGGCCATCTTTGTCCAACATAAGGTTCTCCAGCTGACGGGGGGCAAGACAAAAGAAAAAACATGATTCTTTGTTATTCCGTCTTAAATGCAGAATCTGGATGCATTTCTGCATCCCTCTAGTGCTACAGTACACTCAGCACAGGTGTCTGATGTTGGACATGGAGCAGGTGCACTTTACCTTCAAATCACGGTAGACGATCTTGGCAGAATGTAGGTAGTCTAAAGCAGAGACGATCTCAGCGCCGTAGAAACGGGTGCGGTCCTCTGAAAACACTCGTTCTCTCGACAAGTGGAAAAACAGCTGTCGAGCAAAACAAAGTTCTTACAGCTCGGACATGCTTAGCAATCAGGTTAAAGACAAGTTGTTGAAATCAAAATCTCTGCTGAGGAACCATGCAGTGGTGTAGAGGATGAATCAAAACACACATCGCTGTAGCCGAAACAACAGCAGTACGACAGATTTGGACTCTTTGATGCCTAAATGGGGCTGAAACATATTCAACAGGGAGAGCATTTTCTCAACACAGCTTCATAAATTAAAACCGTCTTTCTTTGTCAGAATTATTTAAAAAAAGGAAAACTGAATTTTTGCCTCACTGTCGTATTCAGCATCTGACAAATATGGTCACAATCTCTCCTTCTGCACTGAAACATGGCCATGAAAGTGTTTTTGTAGAACACAATGATGCCACAGTGAAGCTGACCATTGACTTTTATAAATTAAAAAAAAACAAAAAAGTCATTTCTTTATCATTTTATGTTATATTTCCTACATCTTTGTGACATTTTGCCATAACTAGTGTACATCGACCACCAAAATCTGATCACCATTATGAGTCCAAGTAAACATTTGTGGAAAATTTGAAGAAATTCTCACAATATGTTTCTGAGTTATCATGTTCACAGCAGGACAGAAGGACAACCTGTAAACATAAATCATCCAGCCACAGCAGTCACCTCCACAGAGGCACAAAAACACTTATGGCTGTGGAATAAGATGTAATTTCATAGCAGCTACAAAGACCTACTACCAAATGGTTGTAAAGTTTATTAAACGAACCCTTGTTGAAGGTTATATGGGCATCATTACTCCATTAAGCATGAATGAATACGTGAACAGGTCTACCAAGTGCTGGCCCAAAGGCTCAGGCAGTCAGGAGGCCACTGAGGTGAATGTTTACGGTCACTTGCATAAAGTAGGGATGTCCTGATTATAATTAGTTTGATTAGATTCCGGGTGTCCTAAGCGGGGATCTTCTTGCTGCGAGGCGACGGTGCTAACCACCGAGCCACCTTGCAGTCCTGTGAAATACTCCGATCAGTAAAAATGACAAGCACCAACGACATCTGTAGTTCTTTTTTGTGTCTTTCAGTTTGTAGTTTTTGCTCTTCTGAAGGGCCTTTTTTTTTTTTGGATATCTCACAATGTATCTACGGCATGAAGTCGACGTTCATTTCTAAATCTTTGTACATCATTTTTAACTCTTGAGCTGTTTTGGTGCAACACCTTCCACCAACTGAATACTGTCAATAGTACCGCAGTTCTCTTCAAAGTTGAAAGAAAATACTGACCGAGTGGGCTTGTGTTTTCATAAAATGAATAATTAGATTCGGTCCAGCATCCCTCCAAGGAAGACTTAAAACACAGCGAGAGGAGTGACTGCTCTCTGTTAGAACTCTTCGCACCATGTTGGTAATCAACATTCTTCAATAACTCTGGAAATAACTTGCATGGTGAAAAAAAAAAGAACACCTATCAGCATCAAAACGTGTTTTAAAAAGCATCCGAGCGACCTCTCACCTCTCCTCCGTTGACGTACTCCATTACAAAGCACAGTCGATCCTTGGTCTGGAACGAGTACTTCAGAGACTACAACACGACACAGAAATACGTTTTAAAACTCAGCAGCATTTGACACAAGACAGAAGCTTTGTGGTCGGAATTCAGCACATTCTTGCTTCTTTATGCAAAACGTAATGAAAACATGGGATTTAGGCGCATCTATGTGCATCACACGCAGTCATACTTACAGTTAGGAATGGATGCCGAGTGTTTTTTAATACCCTACTTTCTGTGAGTGTGTGAGCCACTTCATCCTGCGATAAAAAAGATGAAAAAGGAAGCAGAGTGATTAGACAAGAGACTAAATTAGCCTGTTAAAAGATTACAGATGTACACTGAATGGAAGGAATATGTGTGAAAATCAGGCTGAAATGAAATATCGAAACAGTTTTCTTAATGTGAACACTGCTTATCACCTACAGCGTGCCAGATATCAGAGAGCAAAGACAATGCATTGTCACACAGAGTCATCCAAGACCTTTCCAAAAAGCTGGCAACAAAAACAAAATCTGCTTATTGCTTGTGTTACTTCCAAGTCAACAGAAAAAAAGCTGCAAATAAAAGCTGATAATCAGGAAGAAGACCTTGGCTATAATGACTTCCTTCTTGAGGATCTTCATGGCGTAGTAGGTGCCGCTCGCCTTCTCCCTCACCAGAATGACTTTTCCAAAAGTGCCTTTGCCCAGAAGCTTCAGATAGTCAAAGTCATTCATTGTCTGCAGAACAATACAGGAGAGAAACACGAAGGGAACATTCTGTCACACCTGCTTCTCCGACATTCAGTAAACTTCAGCGTTAGACAGGAGTGATTTACGAGTACACCCAGACCGGATGGATCAGTGTTTTTGAGCTAGATGGTGAAGCTACTGTAGATGTTTTATATAGCTGAAACATTTGGTTGTATCAGAAAGCACTGGGGCAGGAAAAGACACCAACATCAGAAAGCTGTTCAGTATTTTTAGCTTTATTAAGCTTCCAAACCACCAAAACCCATCAAAACCACATCATTCTAAATTTGCTCCCCCAAAAATAATCATTTGCACCCTATGCTGTAAAAAATAAAATAAAATTCTCCCAAGTGCAACAGAGAAGCCCAGCGTGACTCGGGTGTGACCAGCAGTCCGGTGAACTGATTGGGAGGAAAATAAAACACACTAGATCAGGGGTGGTCAACCCG